TATCGCTAGCACATCCAAGCAGCCGTGAGAGCATCATCAGCCACACCCACGTCACCACCATCACCGACCTCATCATCATCAACGTCACTGCCATCGATACCTTCAGGGCGAGCGAGATAACACACGACGACAGGTCACAAGAAGCTGCGCTCTGTGTGCGTGTGTGTATGACACGCAACAGGGTCAGGGAAGTAAAACGAAAGGGCAGAGGATCAATAACGAGGAGTGTGCCGACGCAGAGGAAGAGAGGAATGTGGGGTGCGACACGCGTGCTCGTGTCGCATGAGTGCTGGCATGCCAGCGCAAAGCCAACGCCACGCAAGCTGGATGAACTAGCAGGTAAGTGGGAGCAGCGCACCATGTGCTTGTGGCGTGGGAGCAGCGCACCATGGAGATAAGGAAAGGCAACCAGTCTCTCCTCGTCGCGATGGCGGTGCTTGCAATTTGAACGGGTGGTTGTGGAGAAGGGAGCAAAGGTCGGTCGTGGGGATTGTCGGGGAGGTGGGGCAGTGCACACGCGCAAAGCAACACAGCACACGCACACAGCAACACGACATCGCACAGAGACAGAGAGAGAGAAACGCCCACAGAGACGCAGGCGCAGACACACACACATGCGCGCGCGCCCAGACATAACTGTTCGTCGACGCCGTGAGGAGAAATCGCCCTCCCGTATCCAAGGAAATGCCCTTGTAGACATGGGGACGTTCCGCGATGGCGGTGCTTGCAATTTGAACGGGTGGTTGTGGAGAAGGGAGCAAAGGTCGGTCGTGGGGATTGTCGGGGAGGTGGGGCAGTGCACACGCGCAAAGCAACACAGCACACGCACACAGCAACACGACATCGCACAGAGACAGAGAGAGAGAAACGCCCACAGAGACGCAGGCGCAGACACACACACATGCGCGCGCGCCCAGACATAACTGTTCGTCGACGCCGTGAGGAGAAATCGCCCTCCCGTATCCAAGGAAATGCCCTTGTAGACATGGGGACGTTCCGCAGGCACGAAGCATGTCAAATCACGCCACCAAACATGCCAAGCTTTGTCGGCCACCACAGCGCACGGCACCACAACACAGCACACATGCAAACGCTTGCACAACGCATTTACGTGACACAACAAGAGCACACAACACGTACGACCATCCAAACCACGCCGGCCAGCCAAAATGGGAGTTCCCGGACTTCTGAAGTTCTTCGCCTCCAAGATGGAGCCTGTTCATATCGACGCCTATCGCGGCAAGCGAGTAGGCATCGACATCAGTGGGTGGTTGTACAAAGGTTAGTTCGTATCATCCCGTGACAACGCATCACACACACACACACACACACACACACACACACACACACACCTAACCCAACCAAACGTCAAGGCGCCAGCAAACGTAAGACGCAAAGCGACACAACAAATACAGCATGCCCTCACGTTTGATGAAACCCGCTTGCTTGCTTGCCGTCACCAGGATGTTGTGGTTGGTCAGCCCTTGACATCTTCCTGCGTGGCAGCGAATCCGACATATTCATGGAGCACGCTCTGTCGAAGCTGGAACTGCTGCTGACAAGAGGTATTGTGCCTGTCGTTGTCTTCGATGGCCCCATCTCGCCGATCATGAAGGAGGGTGTACGACGCGAGCGCCGTGACAAGAAAGAAATCGCTCAGGCAACGGCCGCGTGCCTTCTGGACGACAACCAGCCTGGGCTGGCCGCCGAGGCACTCCAGGCTGGCCTTTACGTGTCCTTCGCAATGCGAACACGCATGGCGAGGTTGCTCGCCGAAATTGGAGTCGGTAAGAGTGAGTGTCCTAGTGTCCGTGAGGGAGGAGGGGGTTGGGTGGCTGGGGATAGCGGTTTTGTTGTTGGTCAGGATTCGTAAGAGTGTCAAGGGTTGCTTGGTCGAATGTCAAAACGGTCATTGTTTGTTGCGTTTTGGGGATGATGGTTTATTGGGAAAACTCGCTGAATCTTGCACCATTGCCGGCGCTCAGAAGCTCAGAGATGGGGGAAGCAGTTGGGGCACTGGGGCACACAAGGGCAACGGTGTGCATGGGGGGGGGGGAAGGTGTCCCTCATGACTCACACTGTGTCCGCGTTTCCTTGCTACTCGCCCACCCCCTGCGGCTTCAATCAGAACACGTGATTGCCCCCTATGAGGCAGACGCCCAGCTGGCGTTCCTCGCGCGCACCGGACAGATTGATGCTGTACTAACGGAGGACAGCGACATCGTGGCTCTCGGCGTCAAAGACGTGCTGCTCAAGTTCGGCAGGAATGGGTGAGGTTTGAATGTGTGGTTTGGGGGGGGGAGTCGCGGAAATATTACATAGTTTCCAGCGCTCAGGGAGGGGATGGGTGTGCCTGTGTGTCTATGTGTGCTGAGTACCGCGCTGCAGTGCTGGAACGCCGCTTTCCCTAGCCTTCTCACAATGTTGGCGACTGTCCTCCTTCAGCGAAAGGTGTGGTCAGCGCATTCGGTTCGAGGATCTCGGGGTGACTTTGGACGAACTCCAGGTTGCTGCCCACCTCAGTGGCAGTGATTATCTCCCAAAGTCATCAGGTAAGCCTCACCCAAGCTCCATGCCGTGTCGTTATTGGTGGCAAATTATGAACGATCCCTGCATGACTAACTTTGAGCATTTGACATGATGTGACATGACGTAATGTAAAACATTCGCGGGTCAGTGTTTGCCCCTCACTCGCGCACACACTAACGCAACACATGTGAACAAAACAGTGCACCACATACGCGGCATGGGCTTCGTCAGGGCCATGAAACTGGTTCGAGCAGCACCAAACCTGGAGCATCTGCTCCAAGCACTGGAAGGGAGCATCAAGTACACCCTTCATCCAGCCTTTCGCCAGCAACTCCTGAACTCGCTGTATGCATTTCGATGTCAGGCTGTCCTCAACAACGGCAACCTCGAAGAGCAGACGGGCCGGTGGTCCGACTTTGTGGGTGAGGTGGCGCCCTCGCAGGACCTGTGGCCTGAACGTGCCGCGGCGCAGGCACAATGTGCGTCTGCAGCGCAGCCAGTTGACGACACCCCCTCCGCGCACGTTGCAACACGCTTGAAGATCTTGCACTCGGTACGTTCTTTGTTGCGATTTTGATGAGTTTTGCGATGTTGTGTTCTTGTTTGGCATGAGTTGATCCAGACGTTCTGGACTCGGGGTCTTTGAGCCACGCCAATGTCAATGGTTGCTTGTTGCCACGTCGCTCACGTCGAGGCGGCACACACCAGCTTGTCAAAGCTGGTGTTGCTGGCCCGGCACAGCACCCATTTCCACAGCCCTTGCCACCCACCGCAGAGCAGGTTCAGGTGACAGCTGCCGTCATTTCGTACGTGAAGGAGCACCCCTGGATGTCATCGGAACTTACTCTTCGAGCCGTTCTCAATATTGTGGACGACTGGCAGGTCACCCTGTCGTACTACGGAGACTTCCTTCGGGTCGCTGCGCACCTGCTCCGAACACCCGCCGACCAGAGACTGCAAGCGCTCCTGAGGTCTGTCTCGTTGCGGGTAAGAACAGTTGCCATGTTGTGGTTGCTGGGGGATACTCACATGCGTCTGTCTTGCCCGCTTTCCCTTTGTGTGTGTGTGTGTCAGCCATGCTCTCCCAACCCCCATACCAAAGGTCCAGGGAAGCATTCTCGTCTACGTGGCAGTGAATAGGTACGTTTTGCCGTTGTCACGATGCATGGCGCTTGTGTTCTCTCCTGTCTTCATTCCTGCTTACACTTAATGTTCTCATGTCACCCACCACAGGGCCGAGGACTTTAAAGTCGGCATTACAAATCTCACCAAGAACAGGAGGAGCCACTACACACAAAAACAAATGGCGTTCGTCCCAATCCTGCAGGTAATGTACATGGTTTCACTCTAGTACTCCTTGCTTTTGAACCACCACTCACTCCTTCACACTTTTCACAGCACCAACCACTCTTGCACTTGCACCTGCACTTGCACTTGGCAACTGCGTTCATTTACCATTGTTTTTTTTTTCAACTCACTTCTATACCCACCTACTGGATTGAGTCTACCACAGGTGCAGTGCGACCGAAAGGTCGCACAAGTCCTGGAGGCGCTTGTAACGACGTTGAGCTTCGATGGAACGAGCAGCCTCTACGACGCAACCAACGGCCTGTCTGTCTGTTTTGGCGACTTTGGGGCCTCTCATATCTGGGACTTCGCAGTGGCAGGTATGACATCGCGCGTATGACTTGAGTGCTGCCTTGGTGCCTTCTCTTGCTGCCTTGCTGTGCTTGTTGCGAGGAGCTTGTCGTGAGCGCTGTTTTGACATGTCGGATGCGACGTGAGCAACATTGTCTCCACAGATGCACAGCGTTCTTTCTCTCTATGGCGTTGTTTTGCGCACATTGATTGGTGATTGGTTGGTGGGGTTGTGTGTGGCTTCTTGGCAGGCAAGTCCTGGAACCATGCGGTGCTCGGAGAGGAGAAGGTGCGCAGCGTGATGGCCACCGCACGTGCCGCAATCACACCAGAGCAGCGGCACAGCTACAGCAAAAAGGGCGGGATGGTCACGAAGACACGACGCGAGGAGAAGAGGCAAGAAGAGGCAAGAAGGCGCGGTGTGAGTGTCCAGCAGCTGCTTGAGATGAAGGAAGAGGAGAGAAAGGCACGGAGAAGAGTTGTGGCAGAAGAATACAGGTTAAGGAAGAAACAGCAGCCTGGAATTTACCCTCTCCCTCGAGCACATTGCAAAGTGTGCCAGAGAGACTTCAAGAATGTCACCTACTTCGAACAGCACCGTCGCGGCAAGCAGCATCGATTGCGCGTCCAGGAGCAGCAGCGGCGGCAGCAACAGCAACAGCAACAGCAACAGCAACAGCAACAGCAACAGCAACAAGAAGAGCTTGATCAAGACCAGCAACAAGAGGAGCAACCACAGCAGCCACAGTGCCACCAACAGCAGCAGCAGCAACAGCAACAACAACAAGAAGACCCTGAACAAAACCAGCAACGACAAGACCAGCAACAGCAACAGCAACAGCATCCCGAGGAAGGCCGTGTGCTGCTCGACGCTGACATGGCACATGCATTTTTCTCGGGGAGCGTGTCTGCAGGAGGGACCTCCGTGCGCGGCCCGGATACATTGGCGACTCAGGCCGCCACTCGGGCTTCCTTCACCCGTAACACAGCGGCCAATGGCACAGGAACGACTGCCATTGATTGTCACGCGGTCTGTGAAGGGACACCGGCCGATGTTGCAGTGCACCTCAGCGCTCCACGCGCGACTGGCCCTACTCATGCGTCGCCTGAGCTGTCGCTTGTGCAACACCCACCCCGACACATGACCGCAGCCAAGCAGCTCACGATGCCCTCATCATTTGCACCACAGCAACAACAACGGCCTTTCAAACAGCTCAAGCAACAACTCAAACGTCAACAGCGGCGGCAAGGACAGCGCAAACGACAACTCAAGCGGCTGCAGCAGCACCAGCAGCTTCCGCAGCAGCGGCGGCTACTGCAGCAAATTCGACGACACCGACTCGTGCTCAAGCAGCGACAACTTCTGCTTCAACAGCTTCGACAAGAACCCGCACGACAGCCACAACGGCGACGACTTGCGCAGGACTTCGCCAGCGTGCAGGTATGTGAAGCTGCTTGGACTTGTACGCGTACGCGCAAAAGTTTGTGGTGTAGCTGTGTGTGTGTGTGTGTGTGTGTGTGTGTGTGTGTGCTGCGCTGCGTGCATGTCAAATCATGTGGCGCTATGGCTGCTGTTTTTGCGTTTTGTCGTCAGCGCAATCGAGTCTCGACCAAGTTCACGATGCCTCTTCTTGTTGTTGACAGGCTGGGACACACAAGGGAAGCTCAGATTCGCATAGCCACCCTGACGAGGAAGCAGAAGCCAATGACCACGGGGAAAGCACGCAGTTGCCGTCCAAGAGGGCCAAAACCGTCGCTCCTTTGTTAGCCCTTTTGTGTGTGTGTGTGTGTGTGTGTGTGTGTGTGTGTGTGTGTGTGTGTGTGCGTGTGTGTGTGTGTGTGTGTGTGCGTGTGTGTGTGTGCGTGCGTGTGAGTGTGTGTGTTGGCTCGCATGCTCGAGTGTATCGACGCTGATGCTCTGTTTGCTGATTTGAATTGACCCCAGGGACGGAGCCACGCCACAGACTCCAAGCACACCATCCCTGCTAGCACGGCGCCCCTGAGTGATAGCCAACAAGGGAATCGGCGACGCCGACACTGCCACCGCAACCCCACATCTTCAGCGGCAATCATCCTATCATCGCGCTGGAATGCAAGCCGCGTCTCATCAATCTGTTTCCGGCCGAGCAAGCTGCCTTCTGTTGCACGCCTTTTACCCTTGTCAGTAACACAAGCCCTCGGCAACGCATGTGCTTTCGTGTGTGCTTCTTTCTTCATGTTTTTTTGTGTGTGTGTGTGTGTGCTTGTGTATGCGTGCGTGTTTGTGTATGCGTGCGTGTCGTGTGTGTGTGTGTGTGTCGTGGGTGTGGTGTGTGTGTATGTCCTGTGAGTGTATGACTGCAAGTACGTCCCCTCCTAAATGTGTACCCGCCTACTTGACGTATACTTGCGGTTGGTTCATAGAGGATGTAATGTGATGTTACAGTTGTGTTACATGGTATAGCAAGTAAACACGATCAAAATATCAAGAAGAGAGGGAGGGGCACGATTGCCGCGCGCGAAAGACACATCGGATCTGCTCTTGTCGAACAGAGCGAGCACAAGCACGCACATCTGCAGTCGCACGCGCACAGTCACATACATGGCAGAGTGAGACAGTGCACATAGCGATACCACAACCATCATAACGACAACACAACAAAGTGGCAGCGCCAACATCTCTCCCCTCATCTCCATCCCCAAAATGTACGGTCACATGGCCAGATACACAGCCGTGGTGGTGGTGATGGTGGCCATGATGAACGCCTTCCTCCCCACTTCCCCTCAACCCCCTTCCACCAAACACGCACAGCATTGCGTGCCCTCACCTCGTGCATCGTATCGCTGTCAGCGTGGTTGATGGCGATGCACACACATGCAAACGCACACACGCACACACGGCCGTGTGTGTTCCCGGTTGAGATGAGCAACGGAGGGAGAGAAATGGGCGACACGACACGACGGCCAGTCGATCCCAGCCAATCCAATCCAGCATCCACCGCCGTGTGTTGCCTGCTGCAGTCATCACCACAATCACACAATCACAATCACACAGGTGCAAGCAAAAGGAATGGGCCACTGGTATGTGTGTCATTGTCATGTGATACCACCACCACACAACATCACGTGCATGTGTACATGCACCCCCCATCCCCCAACCAACATCATCGCCCTCCTATCACTTCCTTTCCCTCTCCATCCGTTCGCTCAGCACTCCCACATCGCACCACCACCACCATCACCACACGCACCAAAGCATCCATGATGGGCTCACCTGTACACGTCCTTGTTCTTGAAGGCATGCTTGAACACGCCAAAGTGGGCGTCGTTGGCAGCCTTGGTGTGGCCCGGGATCATGAAGTGCAAGATAATCTCCTGGTGCCGCAGGACTGAGCGCGCGCTGAGGTACTGCATCACACAGTTGTTCTTGTTCTGCGCCGCCGTGTTGTCCGCCAGAATGTACACACGCTCAGCCTCTGGGTAGCCCTCCAGCACGTGGTGCAGAAGCGACACCATGAAGTCTGCGCCCTGCACCATGGCGCGCTGTGTCTCAGGAACAACGTAGTTGACTTGATGCGCCGTGCCCAAGTTGGCAATGCCGAAAACATCGACAGCCAAGCCGGTGGTGTAGTAGATGTCTTTGGGCTCTTGGGTGAGATGTGGCAGCCTGCACGTCCCAGCCTTGTCCATGCTCAATGCCAATGTGTTGGCGTGAAGGGCGGCGAAGCGTGCGTGGGCATGGTAGAACGCACGCTCCAGCCGAGTGGGCAGCAAGTGCAGCTTGAGCTGGACGTGGTTCTGTAAGTCATCAACCAACACCGTGCCGGAAGAGTTGGGCAAGATGAGTGTGTGAAACCACCGTTGCAAACAATGCCTTCAACATGATGCAACCTCTGTGTGTGTGTGTGTGTGCGTGTGTGTGTGTGTGTGTGTGTGTGTGTGCGTGTGTGTGCGTGTGTGTGTGCGTGCGTGCGCGCGTGTGTGTGTGCGTGCGCGCGCATGTGTATGTAAACGTGGGTGGGTGTATGTGTATATTCGTGACACCCCACCTTGCTTCGCCGCAACTCCATGCAGCGGTTGCACAAATCCGTGCGGAGCTTGTCGCTGACAACCCAGGGCATATGCCGACGCCAGACGTACACAAAGTCCCCGTAGGACAGGGCATCCCCTTGAACAACAAGCAGCAGAACATGGGTGAAACTGAGTGAGCGCTCGCTCGCGTTTGAGTCTCGTGCGTGCGTGCGTGCGTGCGTGCGTGCGTGCGTGCGTGCGTGCGTGTGTGTGTGTGTGTGTGTGTGTGTGTGTGTGTGTGTGTGTGTGTGTGTGTGTGTGTGTGTGTGTGTGTGTGTGTGTGTGTGTGTGTGTGTGTGTGTGTGTGTGTGTGTGTCTACTGTGTGTGTAGGGGGGCGTTCCTTTGCACGAGCGGTGCGCTGACCTCCAGTAGTGCTTGGAGATGTGTCCTTGTGCACTCTCAGGTAGTCCTCGTGCATTGCCTTCTTGGTCTTGTCAACGGGGAGGAGCAGCATCGGGCCCCGCTGGCCAGGGTTTGGCAGGCCATCCACCCGCGCGATGGCGTCAATCACTGCGAGGGCAAACTTGGTGCGAGGGTGCTTCACGTTCTTCGTGTTGCCTGGGCGCTTCGTTGGAGTCGGCACAACGTGCTCGTTGCGCAGGTCTTGAAGCGCGTTGGCAATCATGCGAGAGCCCATGCCCGTGACTTTCATGAACGACGTCTTGCACAAAGTTGCGCCTGACCATGGCACGCAAGGCATGTGTGCATAAAGCTGCGAGAATGAGGAGTGCTTGGGGAGCAAGTGGCGCGGCTTGCAGTGCCACTCATGTACGTGGCACCGACAAAGCATGACCTTCGTCAGCACGCAAGCACACACACACACACACACACACACACACACACACACACACACACACACACACACACACACACACACACGGACAGCCCTCAGCAATCACGCACCTAACACGCACCGAACACACAGTACTTGGGGCGGAGTCGGTGTGCAGTGACGGGGACGGAGTCGTCATGATGCCGTTTGGCGCGGCTCTTGCGGGGCTTGCCTTTGGGGGGGGGGGGGTGCCTGCCGCCCCAGAGACACACGTCGCCAGGAGACTCTGGCATGCAATGCGTTTGGCATGCTGTGACAGTCTGTCGTACTCTGCCCTGATCTGCTGCACGGTAGACGGCGGCAGAGAATCCAAGCATGTGCCCGAGGCGCACTTGCACCTCTTCTCAATGGCATGTGTGGGTGGAGTTGTGCGCTGTTGCCGGTAGATGCGTGCGTGTTCAGCGGATGTGTCGACATCCTCATCCTCATCGTCCACCATGTATTTCATCGTGATCGTCGTCCTCACACGCAGAACTGTCGTGTGAATTGTTGTGTACTACTTCGACGGAAATTGCACTCACTCGGACACACAATTCCATGAAACTTTACAAACCCAAATTCACACTTGTTTGGCAACCGAGATGGTTGCACTCATGGCCGAGTGGTCGAAGGCGATGGCCTTGAATGTCCTAATTGGATTAATGCAAGCCATTGGGCTCTGCCCGCGTAGGTTCAAATCCTGCTGGGTGCGTAAATTTTTTTCTCTTGCTTCGTTGTGGTTTTTCTTTCGGCAGGTTCAAGTCCTTGTCGGTGCAATGTTGTTTTTTCTTTTGCGTTGGACGGACGCGCACAATCAATGGTGTGTGTGTATGTGTGTGCGTGTGTCACAGAGAGAGAGAGAGAGTGAGAGAGTGTGTGTGTGTGCGTGTGTGTATGTGAGAGTGTGTGTAGAGGGAGAGGGAGAGATTGTGTGTGCGTGTGTGCGTGTGTGCGTGTGTGTATGTGTACGT